TTAGTATGCATTTTGAGATCCCGGATGACACATCTTCGTTAAATCTGGATGCAGCAAATTACCAAAATTTCATATTGGATTCTGAAAACCTGGTTGTGTCAACAGGCTTCCTCTTTATGAGATCTTTGTGTTCCAGCGCACAAATCTTAAGATATCACAAATATGTGGCAAAAGAAGGACTTGGGAGCTGAGAGCGTTTCCAATTGCTTAGCTAATGGGTCTATCTTCTCACTGAAATGAATAATAATTTGCAGTTATTATAGAGGGGAAATTGAAACATTGTAAAGTGAGGAAACTTACTTATGGGCACAGATCCTGCAAGAATCATGATTCATATATTTATCTGCATATACTAAAAACTGTTGAACTGTATATTTTTAAAAAGTTGAATTCCATGGTATGTGAATTATATCTTTAAAAAGTATGTTATTTTTTTTAAAGATTTATTTTTATTATTTTTTCATTGGAAAGGCGGATATACAGAGAGGAGAGACAGAGAGGAAGATCTTCCGTCCGATGATTCACTCCCCAAGTGAGCGCAACGGGCAGATACTATGCCGATCCGAAGCCAGGAGCCTCTTCCGGGTCTCCCACGCAGGTGCAGGTTCCCAAGGCTTTGGGCCGTCCTCGACTGCTTTCCCAGGCCACAGGCAGGGATCTGGAAGGGAAGCGGGGCTGCCGGGATTAGAACCGGCGCCCATATGGGATCCCAGGCGTGCAAGGCGAGGAACTTTAACCACTTGTGCCACCGCGCCGGGCCCAAAAGTATGTTATTTTTTAAGGGTCATGCCTTACCTGCTAGGCAACACTTTGTATAGAGTAGCATTTCTGTCATTAAAGGTCTATTATTGTTTGATTAAAAAGAAGTTTTTAATCAAACATGAGAGAGTATCTTTCCATATAAAATGTCATGCCAGATTCTATGAAATATTTAGCTAAAGTGAGCTCTATATATTATATACACTCATACACGTATGTATATATACACACAGAGAGGTAAGTTTGCAATAATTATAAAGATCACTAGGCATATATATACACATCAGGTGGGTCATAAGAAATTTTAAATACTATCTCTATCACTGAGATATTGCTACTTCCATTCCATAAGCTGAGAAACTGAGGCTGAGAAGATAATTGCAGGAACAGAGCTAATAAAAGGCAGAACTGAAATTTTGCTCAAACTTATGTGGTTATGAAACCTAGAATTTTGCCAATTATGAAGAATAAGTAAGACGAGGACGGAAGTAAGCAAGAGCAAGGAAGAAAGACCTGGATGCAAAGACTGCAAGAAAATGAATGGCTGAGTTCTGAGAGCCAAACTATGGAGTTTCCAAGTTCTAATCTAGATTATGAAGTCACAGTGCAAACTCAGTATACAGTTTGAAGTTTGAAAGTCCTCCTAACATGACAATCATCTTAACAAAAAAACAACACAATTCCCAAAAAATGGACAAAACTGATATATAATATTTAAGGGAAAACATAATTTTCTGTGTGATTATTTGACGTAGGACTCTCTGGCGAGAAGATAAATGAATGCATGTATCAGGACCATACCCGTTTTGTGTATAAGAAATTCATTCTTAGTGTCTACCAAACTCTATGCATTGTCTGGATCACATGAAGCTTTAGCATTAGACGACATGAGTTTCTATCTTAGATTTGGGTAAATTTTCAAATTTCTCTATGCTTTCACTTACTTACCTATAAGACAGTAAAAACATTAATGCCAACCTCACAGGATGACTGTGAAAAATATAGAAAACTATCGTGTTTCAAAGACCATTAAGCAGTTAATGCTGGCTGCTGCCATTATCACCTAGCAAAAAACACAGAAGGGTTGAATATTCATGTCTAATACCCATAGTCTTCTGATTATGTTTGGGACCCTGAAGTATATTTAGTGTTCTTTATACAAAGGACATTTCCCAAGAGGCCATGTTCAAAGATGCCAGACTACCAATAGATAATGGGATAGTATTAAGAAGTGCACTCTAGGACCTGGTGCAGTTAAAGTCCTTGAACATGCCGGAATCCCATATGGGTGCTGGTTCCAATTCTGGTGGCCCTATTTCCCATCCATCTCCCTTTCTGAGACCTGAGAAAGCAGTCAAGGACTGCCCAAAGCCTTAGGACTCTGTACCTGCATGGGAGACCCAGGAAAGGTTCCTGGCTCCTAGCTTCGGTTCGGCTCAGCTCTGGATATTGTGGTCACTTGGGGAGTGAATCAATAGACAGATCTTCCTCTCTCTCTTCCTCTGTAAGTCTGACCTTGCAATAAAAAAATCTTTTCTAAAAAGTCCACTCTAAATTCACCCTGAGCACTTCTGAGAACATTCTTTTCATATAGTTCATCATATTTTTATAGCCTTGAAAAGAATATTCACATGATCATAGAATTTTCCTGGCTGACAACTCTTATCATATTACTCTTTCATGTTATTTATGTTTGTGTGGGTCTTCCATTCCTAAAATGATGCATAATTTGCATAGAAGTTACATGTTCTATACACGCACACACACACACGTAAGCTAACACAATGATTTAGATCAATGGTACTGATATAATGTAGATATAAAAACAAAACTTCATTCCTCCATCTACTAACTATAACTTTGGATACTCTTAAGCTTGCTAATCCTGTCTCTTTACCTATAAAATGAAATATCTCATAGAAATATTGTATCTCATAGAAGTACTCATAGAAGTATCTCATAGAAAGTACTCATAGAAGTATCTCATAGAAATATTGTGAAAATTAAATCAGGGTGTATGTGAAAGGCATCCACCACTGTGAGATAGATAGCTAATTCTCAGTAGATGGCAGCTAATACCAAAAATTACATGAATTAGGTAAGCTTATTGGCTCAGATTCATCTTCAATTACATATTAACTTATTGTGCACCTGCTAAATATCTTACATTCTATTGTTTTTGTGGGTACTAGATGAAGAAAATAAATTACATGAGACCTCTAAAATGGAGCACCTGTTTTTGTATGACCTTTGGAAGAATCCTGCAATATGTCCTCATTTTCAAAAGTGGAATGTGGGGCTGGTACCAGTAAGAGAGAATGTGAAGAAGCAGGAAGGTAAACATGAAGAGAGGTGGAGTTAGGTTTGACTGGAAATGAATCAGCCCATCCTACAGAAAGACAGCACCCATATTCAAGCTATATAAGGGACAGCTTCCTTATCCATCACCACCCTGCAAGCTGCATCAGGCTTTATCCTACGTGTTCCTTTGGCAACCCAGGTGAGACAAAATCCATCCAGTTACATCTATAGATATTTGGAGCTATGCATAGTAGAACTCGAAGAATACAAGCTAAAGCAAATATATGTTAGCTTTGCTATTTTGCTTTTATGGCTCTTTCATTTTCTTTATTTTTATTTAGTTATTTATTTTTTGCTTATTTTTCAGTTCAGTTTATTCTGGAGTCTTTTTAGAATAAGCTGATGTTAATATAATATAATATAATATAATATAATATAATATAATATAATATAATATAATCCAAGTAGCAGTTTGCCTTTCTTCTAGGTCTTTTCATAACTCCCCCAAGTCTGTTTTTTTTTTTTTTTTTTTTTTTTTTTTAAAGATTTATTTTTATTATTTTTTATTGGAAAGGCGGATATACAGAGAGGAGAGACAGAGAGGAAGATCTTCCGTCCGATGATTCACTCCCCAAGTGAGCGCAACGGGCCGATACTATGCCGATCCGAGGCCAGGAGCCTCTTCCGGGTCTCCCACGCGGGTGCAGGGTCCCAAAGCTTTGGGCCGTCCTCAACTGCTTTCCCAGGCCACAGGCAGGGAGCTGGAAGGGAAGCGGGGCTGCCGGGATTAGAACCGGCGCCCATATGGGATCCCGGGCGTGCAAGGCGAGGACTTAACCACTTGCGCCACCGCGCCGGGCCCCCCCCAAGTCTGTTTTTAAGAAGATATTTATTTACTCGTTTATTTGTTTAAAGGCAGGGTTATAGACAGAAAGAGAGAGAGCTCTTCCATCACTACCCACCCCTCCCCCAAAATGGTCCCAACAGCAAGGGGATAGGTTCAAATAAAGAACCTGGAACCTGGAACTCCATCCCTGGCTCCCTCATATGTAGCATAGGCCCAGACAGTTGAACCATCTTCCACTGCTTCTATGTGCTCAGAAGCAGGAAACTGTACCATAAGCTAAGCAGCCAGGTTTGAACCAGTACTCATACAGGATGGCAGTGTTGCAGGTAATGGCTTAACTCACTGCACAACAACCTTGCCCCACTTCCTAGTCTTGCATGCTATCTTTTCTGGGCTGTTCAGCTCAAATAGAGAAGCAGCTTGTCTTCTAGCAGTCTGTTCTTTTTGTTTTATATTGATTCTCTAAGCTTCAAGATCTAATTATCTACCAGACTGCTGCCTACACTGTTGAGCTTACCTCCAAGACTAATGATGCAGAATACTGTTTGGTCATCTGCTAAATTTAGAACAATTTCTAACTTCTGAGAAAGGCTTGTCTCTGATGTGCCAAGTCATGGGCTCACTTTGCACTCCATTTTTTAATTTGATGATGTTCCTAAGATCCAGTTTAGCTTCTTGTGTCTTTTTTTTTTTCTCAAGAAAAACAATAAAGTTAGAGAGACTTTGCCTCTTAATGTAGGTGGTTCTGGAAATATTGGAAGCCCTAGGAAAACACCCAAAACACTGAAGTACCCCAAATTTGGAAACAGTATGTGCAGACAATATTCACCCAGGACAAAAAAAAAATAGCAAACAAACATAGAAATCTGACATCATTAAGTCTCAGTTGGGTAGATAATATGCCATTACTTGATTTGAGCAAAATAACTCAGAGCTAAAGTTTTCATGACTTACTCACAAAACCTGCTGAAATTTAAATGAAAAGATAGGTTTAAAACCACATATTAAAATGAAAGCTATTGGTAAGTAAAAGAACGTAAATGATAAAATTTGGGGTATTTTTTCCTCCAGGTTCACTTAACCTTGCAAAACGATGACAGACCTCTTGAGAAGTGTTGTCACTGTCATTGATATTTTCTACAAATACACCAAGCAAGATGGGGAATGTGACACTCTAAGCAAGGATGAGCTAAAGGAACTTCTGGAGAAAGAATTTCGACCAATTTTGAAGGTGAGGCTTGTGTGCCAGGACTGAAGGCTGCTGGGGTCCTGTCACCAAAATACTATTCACTATTATAGTGATGTTTGAGAAAACTCTATATAGGGGACATTCAAAATAGGAAGACAGTACACATTTGTAAAAGAGTGAATGCTTGTTCCTCACTTCCTTATACACGCCTCTCTTAAAGACACTTAGATCTTTTCAAAAACTCAAACTTTATTTTCTAGGAAAAAAAAAACAGAAAATAATTATATTCTAAGAAGTGAAATAATAAGTAATATTATCAGGAGAATTAGCAAAGTGGCTAGAATAAAACAATACAAAATTCAAGCATTTCTGCTTCTTCTTGGAAAGAATTAAGATATTAAATTCAAAATTATAGATCATAACATAAAATGTGTTAACACACAATGTTTATAATTTATGAATAACCAGCAGACACCTGGTATTGAATGTAGAATATTCGTTCCTTCCCATGTGCCCATAAACCGATCATTTACCCCTCTAGCTTCTATGCTTAAATGCCTTTTACTAGAGCAGATTACATTTTCCATACCCATTCCCATTTTCTGGGTTCCACTAGTCTAAAGTAATCCTTACTTGGACTATAACTACTTGATAATAACATCCATAAATCCTTAACCCTATTTGAATATTTTGAGTATGTGGGTTATATTGATCACATTTTTCTTGGTGTGTCACTCATATAGAACCCAGATGATCCAGACAAAGTGGATGTCATCATGCATATGCTGGATCGAGATCATGACCGAAGACTCGACTTCACCGAGTTTCTCCTGATGGTATTCAAATTGGCTATGGCCTGCAACAAGGTTCTTGGCAGACAATACTGCAAAGCTTCAGGGTCAAAGAAGCGTAAGCATGGTCATCAGCACCAAAAGGAAGAAAATGAAACGGAAGAAGAAGAGGAGGAGACAACAGGACAGAAACCAGGTTATAGACACTCAAGTTGGAGTGAGAGTGACGAACATGGATATGGTTCTGGGGGTTCAAGGGGAACTGTAAAACATAGACATGGGTCAAACTCTTGGAGGCTGGGAAGGCAAGGTGATTCACCAGGCTCAAGGAACCAAGAGCTATCTGAGAAAAGGCGTCACGGGTCTAGCTCTGGAAACTCACAGAGTAGTGGTGAAGAAAGACATGGTTCTAGTTCCGGGGAATGGGGAGAAAGAAGAAATGGGTCATATGTTAGCCCCTCTAGGGAATCTGAGAAGGAATATGAATCTGGATCTGAGTCAAAAAGTCAGGGGAAGAAAATTAATAGTGGTCTGTCACAAGGATTGGGGACTAGTGAACATAAATCAAACTCTTCACAGGCAGAACAAAGTGGAGAGCAAAAGCCTAGGTCTAGCTCTTCAGAGTCAGGTTACTGTAGAAACCAAAACCATACATGTGGGTCCAGAAATACAGGTGGGTGTGGAAGGTCACACAATGCTTCTACTTCTTGTCAGGCAAGTAGATCTGGAGGGCAAGGCAGTCACTGTAGCTGTACGCATTCAGGTTGTCCATCAGGAAGTAGTGGAAGACAAGGACATAGATGCATCTCAGGAGGGCAGACATCTAGATGCTGCCATTCGGAACCAAGCTCCTGTAGCCAGTCTTCTAGTCAGAGAAGATGTGGATCAGAACACAGTGCTCAATCACAGAACTGTGGAGCACAACAAAGAACAGGTTCAAGTCAGTCCTCATGCTGTACACAACATAAGTATGCAGCAGCTCAGTCTTCTACTTACAATCAGCATAGACCTTGTTGCTGTGGGTGCCCTTCAAATGCTCATCAAGGAGAGTCGAGCTCAAGTGATTTATCCAAATGTAGTAAACATCAGTTCAGTTCAGATCAGAACTGTAGAAAAGAACACCATGTACCAGGAAAACATGGTTCAGGTCAGTCTTGCTGTGAGCAACAAAATACAAGAGAAAGACAGTCCTCTGGCTATGGGCAGCACGGGTCGGGATCAGGGCAGTCCACAGGCTATGGGCAACACGGGTCCGGCTCAGGTCAGTCGACGGCCTATGGGCAGCACGGGTCGGGCTCAGGCCAGACCTCTGGCTATGGGCAGCACGGGTCCAGCTCAGGTCAGACCTCAGGCTATGGGCAGCACGGATCTGGCTCAGGTCAGACCTCGGGATATGGGGAGCACGGTTCTGGCTCAGGGCAGACCTCAGGCTATGGGCAGCACGGATCTGGCTCAGGTCAGACCTCGGGCTATGGGCAGCACGGGTCTGGAACAGGGCAGTCCTCAGGCTATGGGCAGCATGGGTCCGGCTCAGGGGAGTCCACAGGCTATGGGCAGCATGGGTCTGGCTCAGGTCAGTCCACGGGCTATGGGCAGCACGGGTCCGGCTCAGGTCAGACCTCGGGCTATGGGCAGCACGGATCCAGCTCAGGCCAGACCTCTGGCTATGGGCAGCACAGGTCGGGCTCAGGTCAGACCTCTGGCTATGGGAAGCATGGGTCTGGCTCCAGAGAGTCCTCGGGATATGGGCAGCACTGGTCTGGCTCCGGAGAGTCCTCGGGATATGGGCAGCATGGGTCGGGCTCAGGTCAGTCCATGGGCTATGGGCAGCACGGGTCTGGCTCAGGTCAGACCTCGGGCTACGGGCAGCACGGATCCAGCTCAGGCCAGACCTCTGGCTATGGGCAGCACAGGTCGGGCTCAGGTCAGACCTCTGGCTATGGGAAGCATGGGTCTGGCTCCAGAGAGTCCTCGGGATATGGGCAGCACGGGTCCGGCTCAGGTCAGACCTCGGGCTATGGGCAGCACGGGTCCGGCTCAGGTCAGACCTCGGGATATGGGCAGCACGGGTCTGGCTCTGGAGAGTCCTCTGGCTATGGGCAGCATGGGACCAGATCAGGTCAGTCCTCTGGCTATGGGCAGCATGGGTCTGGCTCAGGTCAGACCTCGGGATATAGGCAGCATGGGTCCGGCGCAGGTCAGACCTCTGGCTATGGGCAGCACGGGTCGGGCTCAGGTCAGAGCTTGAGATATGGGCAGCATGGGTCCGGCTCAGGTCAGACCTCTGGCTATGGGCAGCACGGGTCAGGCTCAGGTCAGTCCACGGGCTATGGGCAGCACGGGTCCAGATCAGGTCAGACCTCGGGATATGGGCAGCACGGGTCTGGCACAGGGCAGTCCTCGGGCTATGGGCAGCACAGGTCCGGATCAGGTCAGACCTCGGGCTATGGGCAGCACGGATCCGGATCAAGTCAGACCTCAGGCTATGGGCAGCACGGGTCTGGCTCAGGGCAGACCTCGGGCTATGGGCAGCACGGGTCTGGCTCAGGTCAGACCTCGGGCTATGGGCAGCACAGTTCTGGCTCAGGTCAGACCTCGGGATATGGGCAGCACTGGTCGGGCACAGGGCAGTCCTCGGGATATGGGCAGCACGGGTCTGGCTCAGGCCAGACCTCGGGCTATGGGCAGCACGGGTCCAGCTCAGGTCAGTCCTCAGGATATGGGCAGCACAGGTCTGGCTCAGGTCAGACCTCGGGCTATGGGCAGCACGGGTCCGGCTCAGGTCAGAGCTTGAGATATGGGCAGCATGAGTCTGGCTCAGGTCAGACCTCGGGCTATGGGCAGCACGGGTCGGGCTCAGGTCAGACCTCAGGCTATGGGCAGCACGGTTCCGGCTCCGGAGAGTCCTTGGGCTATGGGCAGCATGGGTCCAGATCAGGTCAGACCTCGGGCTATGGGCAGCACGGGTTAAGCTCAGGTCAGACCTCTGGCTATGAGCAGCACGGGTCCGGCTCAGGTCAGACCTCGGGCTATGGGCAGCACAGTTCTGGCTCAGGTCAGACCTCGGGATATGGGCAGCACGGGTCGGGCACAGAGCAGTCCTCGGGATATGGGCAGCATGGGTCTGGCTCAGGTCAGATCTCGGGATATGGGCAGCACGGGTCTGGCTCAGGCCAGACCTCGGGCTATGGGCAGCATGGATCTGGCTCCGGAGAGTCCTCAGGATATGGGCAGCACAGATCTGGCTCAGATCAGACCTCGGGCTATGGGCAGCACGGGTCCGGCTCAGGTCAGAGCTTGAGATATGGGCAGCATGAGTCTGGCTCAGGTCAGACCTCGGGCTATGGGCAGCACAGGTCTGGCTCAGGTCAGACCTCAGGCTATGGGCAGCACGGTTCCGGCTCCGGAGAGTCCTCTGGCTATGGGCAGCACTGGTCTGGCTCCGGAGAGTCCTCGGGCTATGGGCAGCATGGGTCCAGATCAGGTCAGACCTCTGGCTATGGGCAACACGGTTCTGGCTCAGGTCAGTCCTCGGGATATGGGCAGCACGGGTCTGGCTCAGGTCAGTCCTCGGGCTATGGGCAGCATGGCTCCAGCTCAGGTCAGACCTCGGGCTATGGGCAGCATGGGTCTGGCTCAGGTCAGTCTTCGGGCTATGGGCAACATAACCTTGGCACCAGCAGCTCTACTTACTCTGGTCAACAAGCATCTAGCTCAGGTAATTCTTCTACTAAACAACATGAAAATAGCTGGGGTAGTTCTTCCAGTAAAAGTGGAAAACAAAGTGCTGTGAGTAGTTCAAGTAAAAGATGTCCAATATGTGGCTTACCAATCTCAGATTCAACGCAGGTGGAAGAAGAAATTAGACAAAGAAGAAATGATAGTGATAGTGAACAAAGTGACAGCTATAGAACATCAGGAAGTGAATCTGAGCTGGAAGAAAGTAATCATGCACAACAACAAGGAAACACAGGATATCATAATAGAGAGTCCACTGACAGTGAAACACAATCATCAGATTCACACAGACAATCAGGATCAGTACAGAACCAGGCAGGCTCACAATATCCAGGGACAGAACCCGCATCACAAGGGAGATGGGAAACAACTCATGGACAGAGAAGAGATGCCACCAGACAAGCCCAGTCAAGTCAGAGACAATCCCAACAAACTGGCTCCCAAACGTCTAGAAGAAGAGGTTCTGTTCATAGTGAGTCAAGTGGCAGTGAGGAGCATTCTGCAGGATCTCACAGACATGCAGGATCCCAACAAAGGCAAGCTGGAGCTCAACATGCAGAGTCAGGATCCTCAGTTCAAGAGAAACAGGAAGCCACTCATGGACAGAGAAGAGATACTTCAAGACAACAACAGACAAGTCATGGACAAGCCCAGCAAACTGGCTCTCAGACAACAAGAAGAGGATCTGTTCAGAGCCAAGCCAGTGACAGTGAGGAACATTCTGCAGGATCTCACAGACATGCAGGATCCCAACAAGGGCAAGCTGGAGCTCAACATGCAGAGTCAGGATCCTCAGTTCAAGAGAGACAGGAAACCACTCACGGACAGAGAAGAGATGCCACCAGACAAGCCCAGTCCAGTCACAGACAATCCCAACAAACTGGCTCCCAAACGTCTAGAAGAAGAGGTTCTGTTCATAGTGAGTCAAGTGGCAGTGAGGAGCATTCTGCAGGATCTCACAGACATGCAGGATCCCAACAAAGGCAAGCTGGAGCTCAACATGCAGAGTCAGGATCCTCAGTTCAAGAGAGACAGGAAAACACTCATGGACAGAGAAGAGATACTTCAAGACAACAACAGACAAGTCATGGACAAGCCCAACAAACTGGCTCTCAGACAACAAGAAGAGGATCTGTTCAGAGCCAAGCCAGTGACAGTGAGGAGCATTCTGCAGGATCTCACAGACATGCAGGATCCCAACAAAGGCAAGCTGGAGCTCAACATGCAGAGTCAGGATCTGCGGCTCAAGGGAGACACACAAGTACTCATGGACAGAGAAGAGATACAACTAGACAACAACAGTTAAGTCATGGACAATCCCAACAAACTGGCTCCCAAACAGATGGAAGAAGGGGATCAGTTCATACTGAGTCTAGTGAAAATGAAGAGTATTCAGGAAGCTCACACAGACATGCAGGATCCCAACAAGGCCAAGTTGGAGCTCAACAGCCAGAATCAGCATCCACAGCTCAATGGAGAGGGGAAACTACTCATGGACAGAGAACAGATGCCACCAGACAAGCCCAGTCAAGTCAGAGACAATCCCAACAAACTGGCTCCCAAACGTCTAGAAGAAGAGGTTCTGTTCATAGTGAGTCAAGTGGCAGTGAGGAGCATTCTGCAGGATCTCACAGACATGCAGGATCCCAACAAAGGCAAGCTGGAGCTCAACATGCAGAGTCAGGATCCTCAGTTCAAGAGAGACAGGAAAACACTCATGGACAGAGAAGAGATACTTCAAGACAACAACAGACAAGTCATGGACAAGCCCAGCAAACTGGCTCTCAGACAACAAGAAGAGGATCTGTTCAGAGCCAAGCCAGTGACAGTGAGGAACATTCTGCAGGATCTCACAGACATGCAGGATCCCAACAAGGGCAAGCTGGAGCTCAACATGCAGAGTCAGGATCCTCAGTTCAAGAGAGACAGGAAACCACTCACGGACAGAGAAGAGATGCCACCAGACAAGCCCAGTCCAGTCACAGACAATCCCAACAAACTGGCTCCCAAACGTCTAGAAGAAGAGGTTCTGTTCATAGTGAGTCAAGTGGCAGTGAGGAGCATTCTGCAGGATCTCACAGACATGCAGGATCCCAACAAAGGCAAGCTGGAGCTCAACATGCAGAGTCAGGATCCTCAGTTCAAGGGAGACACACAAGTACTCACGGACAGAGAAGAGATACTTCAAGACAACAACAGACAAGTCATGGACAAGCCCAACAAACTGGCTCTCAGACAACAAGAAGAGGATCTGTTCAGAGCCAAGCCAGTGACAGTGAGGAGCATTCTGCAGGATCTCACAGACATGCAGGATCCCAACAAAGGCAAGCTGGAGCTCAACATGCAGAGTCAGGATCTGCGGCTCAAGGGAGACACACAAGTACTCATGGACAGAGAAGAGATACAACTAGACAACAACAGTTAAGTCATGGACAATCCCAACAAACTGGCTCCCAAACAGATGGAAGAAGGGGATCAGTTCATACTGAGTCTAGTGAAAATGAAGAGTATTCAGGAAGCTCACACAGACATGCAGGATCCCAACAAGGCCAAGTTGGAGCTCAACAGCCAGAATCAGCATCCACAGCTCAATGGAGAGGGGAAACTACTCATGGACAGAGAACAGATGCCACCAGACAAGCCCAGTCAAGTCAGAGACAATCCCAACAAACTGGCTCCCAAACGTCTAGAAGAAGAGGTTCTGTTCATAGTGAGTCAAGTGGCAGTGAGGAGCATTCTGCAGGATCTCACAGACATGCAGGATCCCAACAAAGGCAAGCTGGAGCTCAACATGCAGAGTCAGGATCCTCAGTTCAAGAGAGACAGGAAAACACTCATGGACAGAGAAGAGATACTTCAAGACAACAACAGACAAGTCATGGACAAGCCCAGCAAACTGGCTCTCAGACAACAAGAAGAGGATCTGTTCAGAGCCAAGCCAGTGACAGTGAGGAACATTCTGCAGGATCTCACAGACATGCAGGATCCCAACAAGGGCAAGCTGGAGCTCAACATGCAGAGTCAGGATCCTCAGTTCAAGAGAGACAGGAAACCACTCACGGACAGAGAAGAGATGCCACCAGACAAGCCCAGTCCAGTCACAGACAATCCCAACAAACTGGCTCCCAAACGTCTAGAAGAAGAGGTTCTGTTCATAGTGAGTCAAGTGGCAGTGAGGAGCATTCTGCAGGATCTCACAGACATGCAGGATCCCAACAAAGGCAAGCTGGAGCTCAACATGCAGAGTCAGGATCCTCAGTTCAAGGGAGACACACAAGTACTCACGGACAGAGAAGAGATACTTCAAGACAACAACAGACAAGTCATGGACAAGCCCAACAAACTGGCTCTCAGACAACAAGAAGAGGATCTGTTCAGAGCCAAGCCAGTGACAGTGAGGAGCATTCTGCAGGATCTCACAGACATGCAGGATCCCAACAAAGGCAAGCTGGAGCTCAACATGCAGAGTCAGGATCTGCGGCTCAAGGGAGACACACAAGTACTCATGGACAGAGAAGAGATACAACTAGACAACAACAGTTAAGTCATGGACAATCCCAACAAACTGGCTCCCAAACAGATGGAAGAAGGGGATCAGTTCATACTGAGTCTAGTGAAAATGAAGAGTATTCAGGAAGCTCACACAGACATGCAGGATCCCAACAAGGCCAAGTTGGAGCTCAACAGCCAGAATCAGCATCCACAGCTCAATGGAGAGGGGAAACTACTCATGGACAGAGAACAGATGCCACCAGACAAGCCCAGTCAAGTCAGAGACAATCCCAACAAACTGGCTCCCAAACGTCTAGAAGAAGAGGTTCTGTTCATAGTGAGTCAAGTGGCAGTGAGGAGCATTCTGCAGGATCTCACAGACATGCAGGATCCCAACAAAGGCAAGCTGGAGCTCAACATGCAGAGTCAGGATCCTCAGTTCAAGAGAGACAGGAAAACACTCATGGACAGAGAAGAGATACTTCAAGACAACAACAGACAAGTCATGGACAAGCCCAGCAAACTGGCTCTCAGACAACAAGAAGAGGATCTGTTCAGAGCCAAGCCAGTGACAGTGAGGAACATTCTAGGGGTTCACAGAGATACACAGCATCCCAACAAAGGCAAGCTGGAGCTCAACATGCAGAGTCAGGATCTGCGGCTCAAGAGAGACAGGAAACCACTCACGGACAGAGAAGAGATGCCACCAGACAAGCCCAGTCCAGTCAGAGACAATCCCAACAAATTGGCTCCCAAACGTCTAGAAGAAGAGGTTCTGTTCATAGTGAGTCAAGTGGCAGTGAGGAGCATTCTGCAGGATCTCACAGACATGCAGGATCCCAACAAAGGCAAGCTGGAGCTCAACATGCAGAGTCAGGATCCACGGCTCAAGGGAGACACACAAGTACTCACGGACAGAGAAGAGATGCCACCAGACAAGCCCAGTCCAGTCACAGACAATCCCAACAAACTGGCTCCCAAACGTCTAGAAGAAGAGGTTCTGTTCATAGTGAGTCAAGTGACAGTGAGGAACATTCTGCAGGATCTCACAGACATGCAGGATCCCAACAAAGGCAAGCTGGAGCTCAACATGCAGAGTCAGGATCCTCAGTTCAAGGGAGACAGGAAACTACTCATGGACAGAGAACAGATGCCACCAGACAAGCCCAGTCAAGTCATGGACAATCCCAACAAACTGGTTCTCAGACAACAAGAAGAGGATCTGTTCAGAGCCAAGCCAGTGACAGTGAGGAAGATTCTAGGGGTTCACAGAGATACACAGCATCCCAACAAAGGCAAGCTGGAGCTCAACATGCAGAGTCAGGATCCGCAGCTCAAGGGAGACAGGAAACCACTCACAGACATTTAGTAGATACTTCCAGACAAGCACAATCTAATCACAGTCCATCCTCACAAACTGCATCTGGTACAGCTGGAAGTGAATCTGTGCACAGTGAGTCAAGTTACAGTGAGGAGCATGTTGTGGTTTCACACAGACCCTCAGGATCTTCTCAAGGCCAAGCTGGAGCTCAACATCATAGAAAGTTACCATCCAGCTATGAACAACCACATGCTAATCTTCGGCAATCACGGGATAGTATAAGGAGACAATCTAGTAGCATTGCTAGCCAGTCTGGAACAAAACATTTTCAGTCACATAGTACTGGTAGACAAAGTTATGGATCCAATCAGAAATGGAGACATGGCAGTTATGGTAATTCAGCATATGATTATGGGCATTTTGGGTATGGACCTTCTGGTGGCAGAACTAGTAGCCGGAATTCCAGTCCTGAGGGACAAACAGATTTAGCTTCAAACAAGCAAATGTATATACATGGACAATCATTTTTTATTTCTGACCATAAAGAATCCAAAGCTACTGGAATTAGTGGAAGAAGATCTACTCATAGCCAAGCCAGTGACAGTGATGAACATTCTGGAGATTCACACAGACATGCAGGATCCCAAAATGTAAGTTATGAAGAGTCAGAAACAATTCCTGGGCATTCAGCTCATTCCCATAGTCAGTCTGGATCTAGAAGGCAAAAATCTAGTTATGCATGTTCAGAGTTGACTCCCGAAGTGTCAAACAATACTGATATTCAACCAGGGTATAACACAGCCAGCAAACCAGGAACTACTCATTATCAGTCAAGTGACCACCCTGGATCTGATTCTGGACAATCTAGATCATTTCATGGATATTCAGATTACAGCTCAATTGGAAGGCAAGGATCCCACAAAGAGAATTCCAGAAAGCATAAGAAACAGACTAATGAACATTCAGGATTTGGGCATGGAAAGTCAGAACTGAATACACTGAACATGTGTGGATCTGGTCACCAGCTGTCTTGCAGAAGTTTGGCACAACAGGGATCAAGACAAAGCCAATATGGATTGAGCACTAATGAAATACAAGGAGATAGCCATCACCAATCAAGTGACAGCTATGAGCAGTCAAGTGACAGCAGAAACAGGAGTCAAAGATTTACTTCTCATCATTTTTTTGATGGCGATAGTCATATAAGTACTGGAGAGTATGGGTATGGATACTCATCAAGCATTACAAGCACACTGGGTGGAGGGAGACAAAGGCAAGAATACAACCAGGACAGGGATGATAAGCAGACAAAAAGCTGTGAAGCCAGGTGTTACCATGAAAGGGAGAGAGTAGACTTGGGTTCCTTCCATTCAGATAGCAACACTCCACTCTATGAATATGTTCAAGAACAAAGGTGCTACTACTTTGAATAAAAAGCTAAAGGAAACAAACTAATCCCAAAAAAGAATTAACTGTTAAAAAGAAATGAGAAC